AAACCAGTCTGCAAAAAGGCAAAACTATAGCAAGGATAAAAAGATCAGTGGTTGCCAAGAGTTCAGGGTAAGAGAATAAGGATTAATAAGTGGTGCCCAGGAGATTTTTTTTAGGGTAGTGAAACTATTCTGTATGATACTGTAATTGTGCTTACACGGCTATGCTTTTATCAAAACCCATAGAACTTAACAGCACGAAGAATGAGCCTTAATGTATGCAAACTTTAAAACCATCATTTAGGAGGTTGGAGACACTAGGATGGAATTCAGAATGTGACAAAACAACCTAACTGTATTATGAACGTATGAAATGATCTCACCAAAGGGGATGTGGTAAAAAGTTGTTGTCCGAAGCAACTTTGGAAATGAGTGTAATCTGTAAGACTAAAGGCAAAAGAAATTGCATATCAACACCGGATTCTTGTTGATAAAGTTGCTTCCTACAAGGGTACTGGTTAACAATTCTGATACTGTTATACATGTATACTGGGATTGAACAATTATGTAAACTGATGGTGGATGGCGGGAGCCAGGTTTTTCACTGTTATAGTGGGAGGTTAGAGACAAGAAAGGAGAAGAGGCTAGAATGATCCATGTGGTAATGGATTAGAGTTGGAGATATTAGTATGAACTCATATTTAGCTTAATATGGACATACATGGTTACGTATAGAATTGTTTATTGGTGCATTTATATACACTAATTAGTATGCATTCATCTATTTCCTTGCAAATGTTTCAGCTGAGAGAAGTAATGACACACAAAGACAACAAGCACATCCAGTGCCTAGATCTTGCTTTCTTTCTTTTTTTTTTAATTAAGGTACAATTGACAAATAAAATTGTAAGATATTTAAAAAAAAAAAAAAGAAAAAAGGAAAAAAGTTTTCTGCTTGTGATGAGAACTCCTAGGATTCACTCTCTTAACTTTCCCATGTATCATATATCAGTGTTAGTTGTAGTCATCATGCTGTATATTACATCCCTAGTACTTAGTTATCTTATGACTGGAAGTTTGTACCTTTTGACCACCTTCCTCCAATACCCACTCTCCCCACCACCCTGCCTCTGGTAACTACAAGTCTGACCTCTTTTTCTGTGAGTTTGATGCTGGGTTTTTTTTTTTTTTTT